CCTCCCATCCCATCCTTCCCATCCCTCCCATCCCATCCCTCCCATCCCATCCCTCCCATCCCATCCCTCCCATCCATTCCATCCCATTCCATCCCTCCCATGCCATCCTATCCCATCCATCCCATCCATCCCATCCCATCCATCCCATCCCTCCCATCCCATCCTATCCCATCTCACCCATCCCATCTCACCCATCCCATCTCATCCATCCACCCCATCCATCCCATCCATCCCATCTCATCCATCCCATCCCATCCGTCCTACCCATCCCATCCCATCCCACCCCCCTGCAGGGTGTCAGTCCCCATGGGAAGAGCCCCCCAGCACCCACAGCCTCTCTGGCACTGCTGCCTCCCAACCCAATCCCTCGTTACCTGCTCCTGGCACAGAATTCCCCATGTTTTGGGTCTTTAGGAGCTGGAAACCAGAGGTTTTCACCCCCCTGAGGTGCCATCTCCTCGGGCTTGGTGGCACTCAGGGCTGCCCCTCCAGAAATACACCTTTTTCTCCCCAAAAACACACCCCGGGGGGGGTGCTGAGCAGCTCCCAGGTTGTTCCAGTTTCTATCAACCAGCCTGTAAAAAAACCCAAAATAATCATTGTCTGTCCAGGGTGGCAAAAAAGTCACAGAAATATTGCTTTGTCAGGAGAAAATCAACAGAAAAACTCCTAAAGTGCCCCTGGCATTGGGAAAAGGGGGAAGTGTGTGTGTCCAACCTGTGCTTGTTTGTCTGCAACTCCTGGTTGTGAAACTGGGTTACCTTCCTGCCAGGACCTCCCTCACCAGGACTCATCCTCAGAGGGAGTTTTACATTTGAAATCCTGGGCTTTCACAAACTTAAGAGAGTTGTCAAATAAGCCCTGAAGTTTTGGAAGTGGCACCATCATCATCCCGTGGGGAATTCACACTGGGAGGTGGTTGGGTTTGATTTGAAGTTGCAACTGGGAGAAAAGCTTCTGGATTTCACCAGGGTTTTTGGTGTGGGCACGTTTAGTTAAAATGAGAGTGCTCAAAAGCAGCTAAATGCTGATTTTTTCCCCTCTCCTTCCTCAGTTGCCCATGGGATGGGCTTCAGGATTTTGATAGATGTCACACCAGGCAGCTGGGGGGGGTTATTTCTTCAAGGATCCTGGGAAAAAAACCAGCTTCTGGAGGAGGTGTTCCCTGTGAATGTCTCTATTTTTCCCATTTATTAAAGCTAGAATCTGTTGGGAGAAGGAAACAGCAGCAGCAATGGCCTGAAATGGTGGGGTTTGAGGCATCGAGTTTCTTAAGCTTCCTTCCCTCTTATTTTCAGATCAAAAATGTTCAAAACAGGAAGCTTGACTTGCACCTTTTATTTTGTAAGACTTTTCCTTGCTGAGCCTTGGTTGATACGACTGAGCCCTGGGGGGGGGGAGGGGTGTTTGTTGTTAAAATACCTTAAACTCTGTGAATTCAGCATCACTTGTAGCTCTTGTTTGAAGGTGAATTTGGCATTTAAAGGGGGTAAAAGTTGCCTCCCTTTTTTCTTTCCTACCAGCCATGGCAATGACAGGCCCAACTCCATGTTCTTCCATGAGCAACCACACCAAGGAGAGAGTGACCATGACCAAGGTGACCCTGGAAAACTTCTACAGCAACCTCATTGCACAGCATGAAGAAAGAGAGATGAGGTAGAAATCTTCCTTGATGCTTTTCCGAGCTGGTTAAGAGCCCCAAAAAATACCTATTTACTGCCTTTAGTTTGCTGGAGCTAAAGCAAAAAATTGACCATCTTTGAGGTTCTGAAGTTCTGGGATGGGCACATGGATGGGCATGAACATCCAGAGGCAGCTGCTGGGTTTCTGAATCCAGTGGTAGTTTGTGCTGGAGGAGTTTTTATGAGTTCCTTTTGAAAAGAATTCAAGATGCTTGCAAATGCAAAAGTGTTACTCAGTTAAAAATAAATAATAATATTTGATTATTTGACTAAACAGAATTAACTTTTGGATGTGCTTGGGATGATTCAGGTACAGTCCTGAAGGAGAGAGATTTACAGGTGTTTATCCTCTTGTGTTACCTCTTCACATTTGATGCCCCAGGTTTTAATATTGACAACTCATTTCAGGCATCACAGGATCATTCTGGTTGGAAAAGAACTTTAAAATCATCCAGTCCAACCATTAACCCAACTCTGCTGAGTCCAGTACTTAAACCATGTCCCTCAGCACCACATCTACACATCTCTGAGACACCTCCAGGGATAGGGACTCAACCCCCTCCCTGGGCAGCCTGGGCCAGTTTTTAATAACTTTCAGTGAAGACATTTTTTCTGATATCCAACCCAAACCTCCCCTGGTGCAACTTAAGCCCATTTCCTCTTGTCCTGTTGCTTGTTTCTTGGGAGAAGAGACCAACTCCCACTTCACTCCAGCCTCCTCTCAGGCAGTTGCAGGGAGTGAGGAGGTCTCCTCTCGGCCTCCTTTTCTCCAGACTAAACCACCCCAGTTTTTCAGATGCTCCTCCTTGTGCTCCAGGCCCTTCAGCAGCTTCGTTGCCCTTCTCTGGTCTCGTTCCTGTAAAGATTCAGTTTGGAATATAAGGTGTGATCCAGGCAGCTGAGAAAGGAGGATCATCTCAGGGGCAGGGAGAGATTTCTGTAAGGACTGTCACTTAATTCTGACTCCTCCTTTGTGGCTAAGCTGAACCTGTGGCAGCTCTTCAAAGGTATTGGTCAAAATCATAGAATCAGAGGGGTTGGAAGGGACCTCTGAAGATCAAGCCCAACCCCCCTGCTGCAGCAGGAACACCCAGGGCAGGTCACACAGGAACGTGTCCAGGTGGGGTTGGAATGTCTCCAGAGAAGGAGACTCCACAGCCTCTCTGGGCAGCCTGGCCCAGGGCTCCATCACCCTCACAGGGAAGAAGTTTCTCCTCACATTGAGGTGGAACTTCCTGTGTTGTCACTTGGTGCTGTTTCCCCTCGTCCTGCCACAGGCACCACTGAACAGACACTGGCCCATCCCTGACACCCACCCTGCAGACATTCATAGTCATTCATCAGGTCCCCTCTTGGTCTTCCCTTCTCAAGACTAACCAGCCCCAGGTCTCTCAGCCTTTCCTCACCAGACAGATGTTCCAGTCCCTTCATTATCCTTGTAGCCTCCATTGGACTCTCTCCAGCATCTCCTGTCCCTCCTGAACTGGGGAATCCAGAACTGGACACAACCCTCCAGATGTGATCTCACCAGGGCAGGGTAGAGGGGGAGGAGAACCTCCCTGGGCCTGCTGGCCACACTTCTTATCATCTATAAAATCTAACAAGTGATTTCCCTTCAAACTGTGGTTTTAACTTTGCCTGGAACCCTCTAATGAGCTGAATATCCACAAGTTGTAACGTGGGGATTTCTGATCTTCTCCCAACTTGCCACGTCCCTCTCACCAGAATTTTCAGCCAAGGTTCAGTGCTTGTTCACTTGCAGATTTGCTGCCCCAAAAACCTCCCTGGGTCCAAGAGAAATGCCTGTTAAACTGCAACAACTGCAGAAATGAAGAAGCAATTTAGAAAGAACTACTAACTCCCATCCATATTTGCTTCAAATGAGCAGTGAGAGATGCAGGGCTAATCCACATGAAAACCAGGATGGATTTCATTCCATGTTTTCTCTTGCTTTTTATTACAAGTGCTATTATCCCCTCCCAAAACCTCAATGACAGGGTTTTTTTTTTCTGCTTGGGATCAAGACTATATCTGCACAAACAGACTGGACTTGACAAGTGTTTTTCTTTTTAACAATAGATGTGCCTGTGGATGTGCAATTTGGAGCTTAAATGGTGGTTATAAAATGTACACTAAGCCCAGACAGGACTTGTTAAGGAGATTTGGGGGAATTTAAGCATCTCTGGGTGGTGCTGAGCTGGTGAATTCTGTGTGTTGTAGGGGTTGTGTTTGGAGTCAGTGCTTTGAGGGTGAGATGGGATGGTTGGGCAAGGCTCCTGGGTACTTAAAGAAGGGCAAAGCAATTAAAAAAGTGCCTGAATGTGGCATCATAGGATCATGGCATCATGGGAACATAGAATGCCAGGTTAGAAGTGACCTCAAGGATCATCTGGTCCAACCTTTCTAGGTTCTACTAGAGCTTTTATGACATGGTCCAGCATCCTGGAAGCAATAACTCCAACTATTACCACGTGGCAGCAGCTCCCTGGTGGCACAGGAGGCAGGAGGAGAAGCTCACCAAGTATGATTTACCCAAAGAGAAGCATTTTTTAGTACATTTGGAGTGTTCTACTAAAAATCACACCTGTGGAGAGGAAAAAAAAATAATCCCCTAGAACACCAATCCCAGTTCAACCAGTTACTGTGATCAGTGTTGGGGACACATTCCCAGAGGGTGACCATGACAAATGTCCCCTGAAACCCTCTTCTGAAGGTTTTTTTTTCCCTTTCTTTGCTCCCATTTTGTACTAGGGCTGTAAACCAGATCTGATCCTTTCAGAATGTCTTACAGGCATGGATCCTCTTCCCAAATATTTTAAGTATCTCAGGCATTAGGAAATAGACCAAATATTTTCATTTTGCACTGGATGAATCTGAGATGCAGAGAAATGACAACACAGGCTCATAAAGATGCTCAGAGAGCCAGTTCTCCCTGGAATAAATGAGATTTTGGTGCTGAAATATTGATGATGGCCTTAAGTGACTCACCCAACTACCAGAGAGAGAGCCAAGAATTGAACCCAGATCTCCTCAATCCATGTTTGTATACAACAAAACCAGAATGGAGTAAGATGTGAAACTCAGGGCAGGTTCATATTGTCAAAAATGGGAGAGGAGAAGGCTAGAATGGTGAAGCTGTAATACAGAACTATTCTAAATTCATGTTTAATTCTCCCTTTTATCTCATGGACACTGTTATTTGCTGGCCTTACATCCTCCAGAGCAAGCACAGACCAGAGGTGTTGGGCATGTGCATGGGATTAAGAAACAAATTAAAGATACAACCTTTTTTTTCCTCTTCATTTGTCTCTGCTATAGACAAAAGAAGCTGGAACAAATGATGGAAGAAGAAGGCTTAAAAGATGAAGAGGTAATGAAGATGGGAAAACTACCTTGATGGTTAAAGCCATACAAGTGATTTTCTTTTAATAGAATCATGATGGGTTTGAGTTGGAAGGGACCTTCAAGATCATCCAGTTCCAACCCCCCTGCATGGGCAGGGACACCTCCCACCAGCCCAGGCTGCTCCAAGCCCCATCCAACCTGCCCTTCAACACTGCCAGGGATGGGGCAGCCACAGCTTCCCTGGGCAACCTGGGCCAGGCTCTCACCACCCTCACACCAAAGAATTCCCTCCTCATCTCCAACCTCAATCTCCCTCTTCCACTTTTCATCCATCCCCCTCATCCCATCCCTCCCTGCCCTTGTCCCAAGTCCCTCCCCAGCTTTCCTGGAGCCCCTTCAGGCACTGGAAGCTGCTCTAAGGTCTCCCTGGAGCCTTCTCTTCTCCAGGCTGAACACCCCAACTCTTCCAGCCTGGCTCCAGAGCAGAGCTGCTCCAGCCCTCCCATCATCTCCTTCCCTCCTCTATTTTATAAACAGACATCAGGCATCTCTGCTTGGAGCTGTTGTGATTGATCCCTGAGGAGCCCACCTGCAGAATTCTCACTGTGGTTTATTTCTTCTCCCTTGAACTCTAGAAGAGAATCAGGAGGTCAGCACATGCACAAAAGGAAACTGAGTTTCTTCGCCTGAAGAGAACAAGGTTGGGTTTGGAAGACTTTGAGTCTTTAAAAGTAATAGGCAGAGGAGCATTTGGAGAGGTAAGTCCAGACAAGGTGACTAAATGTTTTTTTAAATGGCAGTGGCATTGGTTACAGACCTGCAGAGTTGACACAAATGAAGGATAAATGTTGTAATTATTGCAGATTGATTGGTTGGGTTTTTTAGCTTGTTACTTGTATCTGTCTTCATGTGCAATAAACACTAGTTTAAAACCATGGGCAGGGACACCTCCCACTAGATCAGGAGCTCCAGAGCCCCCACCTGGAGAACTGTGTCCTGTTCTGGAGCCCCCAACATAAGGAGGACGTGGAGCTCCTGGAGAGAGTCCAGAGGAGCCACAGAGATGCTGGGAGGGCTGGAGCAGCTCTGCTCTGGAGCCAGGCTGGGAGAGTTGGAGTGTTCAGCCTGGAGAAGAGAAGGCTCCAGGGAGACCTTAGAGCAGCTTCCAGTGCCTGAAGGGGCTCCAGGAAAGCTGGGGAGGGGCTTGGGACAAGGGCAGGGAGGGATGGGATGAAGGGGATGGATGAAAAGTGGGAGAGGGAGATTGAGGTTGGAGATGAGGAGGGAATTCTTTGGTGTGAGGGTGGTGAGAGCCTGGCCGAGGTTGCCCAGGGAAGCTGTGGCTGCCCCATCCCTGGCAGTGTTGAAGGGCCGGTTGGATGGGGCTTGGAGCAACGTGGGCTGGTGGGAGGTGTCCCTGCCCATGCAGGGGGCTGGGGCTGGATGATCTTGAATGTCCCTTCCAACCCAAAGTGCTCTATGAATGCTGTTAAAAAGGTCTCACTGAGCAAGCCCAACACAAGGGCATCATTGTGCTTCTGTCACTTTAGCTGGGACCTCCTGGGGCTGGCCTGCTGGGCAAGGGAGAGCTGCAGGGCAGTTGTCTCTCCTGGTGGCCTTCTTTGGAGAAAGTGGCTTTGGACCTTCTGCTGTGGGTGTGTGATTGCTCAGCCTGGCCTCTCTGATAAAGTGATTCCATCTCATAGAATGAACAGAACTTGTTGCCCATCACTGTGCAGGGTGTCATGTTTTGTTTTTTATAACCTGATGTGATTTCACAGAGTCCCAGAGTGGTGAGGATGGGAAGTGACCTCTGGAGATCATCCAGTCCAACCCCCTGCTAGAGCAGGATCCCCTAGAGCAGATCCCACAGGAACAGGTCCAAGCTGGTTCCATTTCATTAAATGGAAGCCAAGGGCTGGATACCCAAACTTGTCCAGAGTTGTGATGAAGGTGTGTTTGACTGAAGTTCTTGCATCTTCCCCAGGTGAGACTTGTCCAGAAGAAGGACACGGGCCATGTTTATGCCATGAAAATCCTAAGGAAAGCTGATATGCTTGAAAAAGAGCAGGTGAGGAGCCACCTCAGGTAGCAGTGTCACCATCCATGGCTTGGGGAGGTCATTGAGATGTGTAGAGAGGAGAGGACCATCCCTACTCTGAGTTTATTAGCTAAAATAGGATGGTTTCCCCCTTTTAATGGAGAAAACAGGTCAGAAAAATGCATGTAATGAAACATAACTTGTAATTAATCACATGTGTGTGTCTCCAGGTTGGCCACATCCGTGCAGAGAGGGACATCCTAGTGGAGGCAGACAGCTTGTGGGTGGTGAAGATGTTCTACAGCTTTCAGGACAAGCTAAACCTCTACCTTATCATGGAGTTCCTGCCTGGAGGTAACTATCTGAGATCAACAAAAAACCTGCTTTCCTCTTGTTGGTGGATTTCTAACTTCTAAATGTAGTTTGGGATCAGGTTGTGGTGCTGGCTGGGACTTCCTGGGGGCATTGAAAAGCTTTCAGGGGTTGGGGCAGGCTCCAGGTGACTGCTTGGGCCTTCTCACTGCAGATGGTTGAATCTTGTCCTTGATTCTCTGCTAGTTATTACTCTTGGGATCTGGAGACCCATCACACACCCAGCTGTTGATTTTCTGACCTTTTGCTTTTAGCTGGGTTGGAGCAACAGCAACTTGTAGGGACCTTTTCAGCCTGGAGAAGAGAAGGCTCCAGGGAGACCTTAGAGCAGCTCCCAGTGCCTGAAGGGGCTCCAGGAAAGCTGGGGAGGGACTTGGGACAAGGGCAGGGAGGGATGGGATGAGGGGGATGGATGAAAAGTGGAAGAGGAAGATGGAGGTTGGAGATGAGGAGGGAATTCTTTGGTGTGAGGGTGGTGAGAGCCTGGCCCAGGTTGCCCAGGGAAGCTGTGGCTGCCCCATCCCTGGCAGTGTTGAAGGGCAGGTTGGATGGGGCTTGGAGCAGCCTGGGCTGGTGGGAGGTGTCCCTGCCCATGGCAGGGGGTTGGGACTGGATGGTCTTGAAGGTCCCACCAGCCCAAACCAGTTTTGGATTCTATGATTAAACATCTTAATTCTTTGCAAACGCCTTCACAATGAGAGTGGAATGAGTGTGTTTGTATTTACCTTTGCAATTTGTGGGGTGGCTTCTAGGTGACATGATGACTCTGTTGATGAAAAAAGACACTCTCACAGAAGAAGAGACACAGTTCTACATAGCAGAGACTGTGCTGGCCATTGATTCCATCCACCAGCTGGGTTTTATCCATCGAGACATAAAACCAGACAACCTTCTCCTGGACAGCAAGGTGTGTAATCACCTGGGGAGGAGCAAAAATAGGTCTTTTAATTTTGAATATTGCCCTGAAGGAGGGTTGACAGTTGTGAAGGAAGATGGTGCTTCTTTCTTAGCCTTGTTCCTTCTAGTTTTGAGGGCATATTTGTCATATTGCTGGGGGGAAGAAACCAACCAAGGCAAGAATGAGCTCTCCACCTCCAGCTGGATTCATACCTTGCTTAGGAATTCTCCTCTGACAGTTGTCTCAGCTATTTTGGGTCATTTCAGCTGCAATTTAAAACACATTTTCAGTTCTCCCCTTCTTGGTGAAATATGTTTGTTCTTTTTGGTCTCACATCTGCTACTCTCCCCCCTGCCAGCTCTTGGGTAGAAGGTCATATCAGAAGTGATGGATGGAGGTGCTAATTAATGAGACTGGGAACTAAGATACCATCTGCCTCCTAACTGGGATGTGTTCAGGAAGGCTGGTCAGGCTGCCTGGTTGCTTCTAGATGGTTAGTGGAGGCAGTTGGTAGAAGCCTTGGTTGGTTCACTGTCCTCATGTTGCTTGGTACAAGTTTACTTAAGATTTAGCTTGTTTGCCCACAGTAAATAATACTTCTTTACCACTAACCAGCTGCTGGTGCCCTGCTGGAATTACTGGTGCCATCCAGCCTGCACCAAATATCATTCCAGTTAGGACTTTGGAAAGTGTGGCTGGTTGAGATGCACCCCTAGAGATGACACACAGTGGGTGTGGCTGCATGTTATCCACCAGGATGGATCCAATCCATGAATTTAAGGTGTTTCTCCTTCTCTGTTGGGGATCAACACCCAACCCAGGGAGTGCAGCTCCCCCTGGAGATGTTGGCTCTCACCCTGAAGAGCTCAGGAGAGGTTTTGGGCAGTAAATAACTTCCTCTGTGCAGCAGTGATGCAATTAGTGAAGTAGTGATGCGGTAGTGATGCAGTAGTGAAGCATTAACAGCTTGATTCTATTTACACATCCAGTCTTGGGCTGAAACAAGGAATGCAAAAAAGAGGGCATCTCTTCTCCAGAATAAAAGGAGGGGCAGAAGTAGAAAACTTCACTTGCTGGGATTATCTTCTCTTTCTCTTTGTTTCTAGGGCCACGTGAAGCTCTCAGACTTTGGTCTGTGCACTGGGCTCAAGAAAGCCCACAGAACAGAGTTCTACAGGAACTTGAACCACAGTCTTCCTAGTGATTTCAGTAAGTGATTTGGCTTCAGGGGGGGAGGGGTATCTATGCAATTTCACCCCTCAGTGTGAGGTTAAAAGGCTGCAGAAGGGGGTTCTAAAAAATCCACCTTGCACCGTGAGGTGTGATGCTGATTTTCTGCAGCCTCAAAATCATTGTAGTTACTTTAATGTACATAAACAGCTTCATTTCCAAAAGTTTGAAGCAGGCTCTGTTGGAGCCTCTCTTTGCATGTGTTAACAAACCTTGAATGAAAACTTCAGGGGGATTTGGGAGGTACTAAATGTGTTATTTCAATGAGGAAGTGAGCAGGGTCTCTGAATACTCAGTTGTTTTCTCCAGGGGAATAATTTGGATCATGGAGTTCAAAATAAAAACCCCTGCAAGTGTGAATTGCTAATGAAAGGTTGTAGAAAAGTTTATCAATGTTAAAAGTTGCTGGTAGGTTGAGGGTATTGACAGATGTGTCTTATCTTCAGTGAGGTGATGAAGGTGCCCCCACATCCCTGGTGATAAAATCACCTGTCCAGGCCCTGGCTGCCTTTTTTTGATGTCATCAAAGAGATTTTTAGTGTAATGATCATGGGGTAAAGGTGTATGTGGGGTGACCAGTCAGTCCCATGTATTCCAATCTCCTTTAGCTTTCCAGAACATGAATTCCAAAAGGAAAGCAGAGACTTGGAAGAGGAACAGGAGGCAGTTGGTAAGTGTGTTTCACCCGCTTGGAAGTGGAAATGACATGAACCCATCTCAAAGTTCTGAGCAAGGCTGAAGGAACAAGATTCATGCTTTTTCTCTTAAAAGGAGGAATGACTTTAGTTTGTCCTTCATCCATCTAGTGAACAGCTGGTGACACATGTGCCTGGTAGTGCTGTCAAAATGATCTGCACTGATGTCTGGTGCCTCCCAGCTAAAACTTAACAGTTCTTGGCACTCTCAAAGGGCTAATGACCCATTCCAAGGTGTCCAGAGACAGTGGAACCCTTCCAGATTTCCCTGCTGGTACTTTAAGACTCCTTCCCATCAACATGTTGATTTTGTCTCTACATACCTTGGAATAAATGCTTTAAACAACTTTGTTCAAGGATCTTAAAGGACAATCTGGTGTGTTCCTCAAAATAACCATTGTTGCATAAGTTCCCACTTCCATATGGGGCAGTTTTCTCTAAAGATACACAACTGGTGGTGTTTGTTCTAGGCTTTTTCTACTGTGGGTACTCCAGATTACATTGCTCCTGAAGTGTTCATGCAGACTGGGTACAACAAGCTTTGTGACTGGTGGTCACTCGGGGTCATCATGTACGAGATGTTGATTGGTAAGAAAGGGGCAGTGCACGAGTTCTGAGCAGGGTGGTGGGGTGGGACATGGTGAGCCTGGGGCCAGGTTCTCACAGCACCTGTTCCTTGCATGGTTTGTGAGGTTTCATAGAATCCCAGACTGGTTTGGGTTGGAAAGGACCTTAAAGCTCATCTAGATCCAACCCCCTGCATGGGCAGGGACACCTCCCACCAGCCCAGGCTGCTCCAAGCCCCATCCAACCTGCCCTTCAACACTGCCAGGGATGGGGCAGCCACAGCTTCCCTGGGCAACCTGGGCCAGGCTCTCACCACCCTCACACCAAAGAATTCCCTCCTCATCTCCAACCTCCATCTCCCTCTCCCACTTTTCATCCATCCCCCTCATCCCATCCCTCCCTGCCCTTGTCCCAAGTCCCTCCCCAGTTTTCCTGGAGCCCCTTCAGGCACTGGAAGCTGCTCTAAGGTCTCCCTGGAGCCTTCTCTTCTCCAGGCTGAACACCCCAACTCTCCCAGCCTGTCTCCATAGGAGAGGTTTATTCTGGTGCACCTTAGACTACAGGAACTACTTTTCCTTTCCACAAGGTTGTATTTGTCTCTCTTTTCAGGTTACCCCCCCTTCTGTTCTGAGACTCCACAAGAAACCTACAAGAAAGTCATGAACTGGAAAGAGACCCTGACATTTCCTCCCGAAGTTCCAATATCTGATAAAGCAAAGGATCTCATTTTAAGGTGCCAACCATATGGCTCATATATTTCTAATTTTCTGGTCTTGCCAACTGTGCTGTCTCCCTCCCATGGGCTGTTTCACATGCAAGAAACCTGATGCTTGTGCCATCCACACGCTGTTGTGCACACGCATCAAGTGCTCAACTCCCTGCTCAAATACATTTGTCTCTGAGAGGTGATTTAGTGGAGCCCTGAGTGAACTACACTGAAAAGGAGCTCCCGTGTTTATGTGCTGCTAGTCTGGCAGAATGTGGATGTTTCTGCTCTTTATTTTGTCTTGTGAGCTTATTGTGGGAACAAATTCATCTTTCTGTCAGAGCTGGCTTCTTAAAACAGCAGTGGTTTTGTCTTTGTATGCACTGGAGCACAGAAATGGATCCCAGTGCATGATGCCTCCTGCTCTTGATTTACCTTTTTCAATCACCTGTCTGTTCTCAGGGCAGAAATATAAATGTCTAACTCTTTAGGCTTTATATGTTCTGCTCTAGGCTGGTCCTGAAATAAAATGGACACATGATCCTGGTGTGAAGGAATTTCACATCTTAATTGTAGCATTTGACATGACATTCCTGAGCATAAAGTTTGTGTGTTGGTTTTGCAGTGGGAGTTCTTGACCTCCTCCCTGTATGTGCTAAGGAACTGGAGTAGTACCAGTCCAGAAAGCTGTTCCATTTCTGGATGGAATGCTTTCCTTTTCATTCTTCCTTCATTTTCATTCTTCCTTCCATCCCAGATTTTGCTGTGAATGGGAGCACAGAATTGGTGCATCTGGTGTGGAGGAAATAAAGAGTAACCCATTCTTTGAAGGGGTTGATTGGGAACATATCAGGTAAGAGGCTTTGCAGAAAAGGAAGCTGCTCTCCCCTAGGGCCTGTTTCAAGCTGGTCCTGTTCAACAGCAGGGAGCAGCTTGACTGGCATGTAGCATATCCAGGTGTGGGTGAGAGGATGTTGTTCCTGATCTGAAGCTTGCTAAGGTGGAGGTACCTTCAGTCATGGATTCTCTTAGGAAATGGGAAGTGGCTGAATCTCTGTTTTCTTCTGCCTTGGAAATGTTGATGCTGAAACTGCTCTTCTTGGCAGAGAGAGACCTGCTGCAATTTCCATAGAGATTAAAAGCATTGATGATACCTCAAACTTTGATGAATTCCCAGAATCTGATATCCTGAAGCCAACAGGTAAATGCTTTGATCCTGCATGTAAACATTCCTTCCTTTTCTCCAGGAGAATCATGTAACTTTTCTGTTCCTCAGAAAGCATCTTGCTTAGATGCTTGGGTTGTTACCATGATCAAATGGTTGGCTTGTGGTGCAGGGGTGTGGGAGCTCTGGTTTGGGTTTCAGGAGATGGGATGCAGACTGGTGAGTGATGCAGGAGCTGTTTGAGGAAGGGCACCTCTGAGGAAGGGTTTCTCCAAGAAACAGCAGAGCTCCCAGAATCACAGAATCCCAGCATGGGAGGGGGGGGTTGGAAAGAACCTCTGGAGATCATCTAGTCCAATCCCCCTGCTAGAGCAGGATCCCCTGGAGCAGATCCCACAGGAACACATCCAGGTGGGTTTGGGATGTCTCCAGGGATGGAGACTCCACAGCCTCCCTGGGCAGCCTGTCCCAGGACTCTGCCACCCTCAGAGTAAAGAAGTATTTTCTTATATTCAGGTTAAACCTCCTGTGCTCCAGTTTGTGCCCAGTGCCCCTTGTCCTGTCACTGGGCCTGTGAGCTCAACCCTGTGAGTTGCCCCTGGAACTGGCTAATCCTTGCTGCCAGCTCTAACCCATGGTTTAGGGGTTGGGAGGGGACAGAAGGGGGACAACAGATTTTGGTGTAAATCTCTAAAGGATCCTTGCATTTATGTGTCAAAACACATTCACACATTTGCTCCATGAGGTTGAAGACCCAACTTGAATTCCTTGATTTACAGTTCTTCTTCCTTATAGTCCTTCTTCCTTTTGCTCCAGTGTTTTCTATGAAAAGAAACTGCAGTTTCAAGGGATAATTTTCTTTTTCCTCTTGTCTTAACCAGTGGCAACAAGCAACCACCCAGAGACTGACTACAAGAACAAAGACTGGGTTTTTATTAATTACACCTACAAGCGTTTCGAAGGCCTGACAGCCCGAGGAGCAATTCCATCCTACATGAAAGCAGGAAAGTAATCCTTCCTTTTCCTGGGACAACTTCTGAGCCATGGAATTCTGTTCCTGTACCTTGGATTTACACCCATAAAAGAACTGTTTTGTGTTGTTTGTTTTTTTTTTTTTAAAGAAAACTTGAGGGCTAGCAGCTCTTGGAGAAGACTTGAGGACCCTGTTTTGTTACACACCCTGGTTGTTACTGAGAATTGTTTTTCTTCTGCACCATGGAAGAATCCCAGCAGTTGTTTGCATCATCTCTGCTCCAAGCACCTTTTGCTGCTTGAGGAGCAAGAGTTTTTCTTTTTCACTTCTTTGCCAGATTGTACAGTCCACCCAGAGAGGAGAGCAAACCTTCCCTTGGACATTGCAAAGCAGGTGGTGTTGATATGGACTGTTCTGCCAGTCCTTGCATTCAGTGACAAAACTCCAGCTGCCAATTCCCAGCACTGCTCTCCCAGTGACTAAGGACTTGGGAAACAAAGCAATAATTAAAGCTTGAGATAAAACAGCTCTCCAGTAAATGAGTAGAAGGACACCATTTGTATTGCCTTAACCCTTAGTTTGTAGTGCAGGTTTTTATAATGCTCCTTGGAAGCCTCTTGAAGAGCATTTCTCAACCCTGGCACCGTGGCCTCCAGTTGCAGTGCACTTTACTTTTGGTACCAAGACCCTCAAGCCATGGAATATTTTGTTTCTAACTTCCAAAATTGTGCAACACTTTTTCTTCTCTAGCCAGTGACAGGAGAGACGGGGCCACTTCCTCCAGCAGCAACAGTTCCCAGTTGCTGTATGAAAGGGATGAACGATGCAGGGGATAAAAAAAACTACAGCTGGTGGATCTGAAATGAAGAGCAGAGAGGGAGGAAAATGCTTTTCACCTGATCCTTGCTGAGCATCTTGTGTCCAGTCAGCTGGGAGGCTTTCCTTTCCTGCTGCTGCCATCTCTTGGCCACTTGGAACATCTGCTGCATCTTCATCCATTTGAAGATGAAACCATCTTTGGTGGCCTTTTTCCTCTTGGTTTTGAGCAGAACAGGCTCAGATTCTCCCGTGGACTTTGCTGATAGAGGCCTCCTTGGCTGTTCCTTGCAAAGCTCCTCTTGCTGTTGGGGCTGAACCATCTGTCCCTGTGGTCTTCCAAAGAGATGGGGTCTCAGGGGGTCACTTTTGGGGCAGTGCAGCCCACCATGGCCACCCTTTGATGATTGCCTCAGAGAATTTCTACAAGTACAAGCAGCTGTGCTGAGGATGCTCTCCAGGAGAGCCCCAAAGTGCCTTTCCTTGCCTAAGCAGCTCTCAGAACTTGGCTGCATTTTGGGAGGGAAGACCCTGCCTGGGTTGAAGCTTTTTGGTGAATTCCTTTTTATAATCATGAGCTCCACTTTGCACCTTGTCTGTAGTTCACTCAGCACTTCCAGGGGCAGGTGGCATGAACCACTGAAGCTGCCTGGTACCAGTCTTGAATTTCCAATTAGTTTGGTTTAAAAATAAACGTACTGAGGTTTCTAAAACTTCCCCATTGGAACTGGCTTGGATTCTTGCAAACTTTTATTGGTGCTCAACACTAGCTCCCTAGCCCAGACAAGGAAAAAAAAACTGTTTAGCAGCTTTCAGTGTTTCAAAGGAAGGCTTTGAGTTAAGATTTAGTCCTAACTTTCTAGATTAGGAAAGAAAAGAGTTTGTAGTGAACCTTCTTTTTTTTTAATAGGTGCTTTTAGGGAATTTTTGCCTAGGTTTTGAATGGAGTGCCATCATGGAGGACTGATTGGGGGGATTGAAAATACCTTCAATAGCTAAAAGTGGGTGGCAGCTCATTGGCATCCTCTCCCTCCCCACCCCTGGGGCTTTTTCTGTGTGTCCTAAGGAGTTTCATTCCCTGCCAGCAGCAGTTTAGGTGTCTGGTAGATCCTACAAAGCTGAAATGCAACAATAGCCTTAATGTGGTCAGTAGGGCTGATGAATAAGGGCTAATTGAAGTAATGATTTCTAGGGTCAGGCTTTTTACCAGCTAGTCAGTCTTACCACCTTCTGCTCCCTTTTTTATGAAGGACTGATCCCAACTTCTCAAATTGCTCCATCTCCTTATCTTGCAGTTTCTTTTAGCCATTTGAAAATGTTGCCTTATAAACCACTGGAAAAGGAAGAAGTGTAAATACCAAAAAGTGTTTTTAAATTCCTAACAGCTTAGTTACTGCCTTAAAATTTAATTAAAAAAAAAGAATAATTAAATGAAAATTCCTTAAAGCTGCTGTGAATTAGGAATAAATGATTTTGAGTAGCTGCATGATTGGCCCTTTACTAAAAGGGACTGGCATTTTTCTTTCTAAATACCAAAGATGAAGAAGCTCAACAATTGTAACATTGTGGTAACCTGCTGTGAAAACAAACAACTCTATAGAATAATATCTATTGTGCATTTTTAGTGTTTCAAGGTCTCCTGAATCCTCAGATTGTTTATAAGGGAAAGGTGAAGTTTTTTCAAAGGCACAAGGAGCAGTTGGGTACCTCATTCCTGTTGTCTTTCAGGAGAAGTTGGATGTCATTGAATACAGTCCTCCTGGGGACACCTTTCCAGCTGTAGGTTGTGTGTGTCACACTCACTGCTTCCTCTTACAGTTGTTGACCAACACTAGGAGAAAAAAATCCAGTGTCTTCTTTCCAGGATCCACACTTCTCTGCTAAGAGAGGAAGAGTTTTGTCTGCCTGGTCCACCCCCCAGCTTAGCCAAACATTTTTCTTAGCTTGTGTATTCAGGTCATATATATCATTGAAGCTTTTTTTTTTAAGCTGCAAACAGTTGCTGGACTTGTAGGAATCATTTCCAGTGGATCTGAACATGAGTTATGCTGTCAGTTCCTCTCTGGATCATGCCTAGCACAAAACTCTGCACTATGTGTTTCTTATCACTGTGCCCTGACTCTGCCTTAACCTGCAAGTTGAAAAAGTGTTCTGTAAATATTGACAAGCTGTTGAAAATTGCACTGTAAAAAAAAGAAATGGGCAGGTGTAGTGTGTGTGTGTGTGTGTGTGTGTGTGTGTGTGTGTTGCTGGGGGAGCCAGCTTTTTATGGAACCATCTTTGCATTGTGTTGTGTAAATAAACTCATCTTAGGAAAGCCAGTTTTGCCAGCAGGTTTTGTTTTTACAAACTGGGATCTCTCAAGTTGGGTGGTTTGGGGTTTTTTTTATTGTTTTTTTGGACTGATTTTAAAAGAAAATCAGAATGCAGAGGTCCATGGGCTGGAAACTGCACAAGGTCCTTGCCCAAACAACCAGGCTCTGGTGTGTAAGATTTGAGGGTCACTCACCTTACAGGGCAAGGAATTAAAAACCTTCTAGCAAAAGAAACCTCCTCCCCTCCCCCTTCATCTGCTCCACATGTAAGTTTTTAAAAAAGCCAAACGAGCTGCATATAATTTATACTTTAATCCAGAAAAGAAACAGTACATCTGTAGTTCATACACACCACAGGGAACACTTCAGGAGATGCAGAACAAGACAAAACTTGACCTTGTACCTGGACAGTAGGTGACCAAGAGAGGAGGAAAAGCAAACAGGCTTTTTCAGTTTGGTTTAGTGTCCCAAGGGAACTCACTCTACTAAAACCAACAAAATTCAAAATTCACCTCTAATTACCTGGGAAAGCCACTTGAGTACAGGGGCTTTTGGGAGTAAAATCTGCCTGGAAATCACAGAGGCTGGATCCCTGCACCCCATGCTGAAGGTCCAATTTGATGAGACAAGAGTACCAACAAGCTCCTCCAAGGTATGGGTGGTCTTTAACCCTACAAGCTCCTCCAAGGTTTTGATGGTCTTTAACCCTACAAGCTTCTCCCAAGATACTGATGGTCTTTAACCCTAGAAGCTTCTCCCAAGATACTGATGGTGTTTAACCCTAGAAGCTCCTCTAAGGTTTTGATGGTCTTTAACCCTACAAGCTTCTCCCAGGACACTGATGGTCTTTACCCCTCAGGCAAGGGCCAGCTGCAGTTAAATGCCTGAGGTCACTATTTCTAATCAGCTGGTTGAATCCTTCAAGCAGCCTGGTGGACACTGGGCTCAGGGCCAGGCACTGGTGGGGTTTGGTGTGGCTGAAGATGCAGTTTAGCTGTCACCCCCTGTATGGAGCTGTGGATGTGACACTGGGCAGCTCCTGCCTTGACACAGTCCTGCAGGGCAGCACTCACCAACACACACTGCTGTAAAAATAAATCCACAGCAAAAGAAAGTATCCATCAAAAGCTCCATCACTGCTGGGTGGACAGTGTCACCAGTGTCTTTGCTTGACCTGTGGGCACAGCTCTTTACCAAGGCAGGTCATGGGTTGGGTCTGGCCCTTAACTGGGAGGTTAATGGTCTGTCTCTGTCTTCCTTTCTCTGCTACAAAAATAGAAATTCCTCTAGAGCAGTAATGGACAGTGACTGCACCCCCACCTCTGTGCAGGTACTGAAGGATACTTCTCTCTATGATCCAATGACACACAGGGAGGATTTTTCCAAAGCTGGCAGGTGGACCTGAGCAGCTGAACCCCTGGGACTCTCAGGAAGCCCCAAAAAGCTTTTGGAAATCTTCCCATAGGCACTTAAAAAAGAAGAAACCTCTTTGCTGCACTTAGGAAAGAAGCTAAGAACAGAAACACTGCAAAGAATGGAACCTGTACCCATACAAATGGGAACTAAATATATCAGCAAGTATGTGCCTTGGCAGACATTCTGTTGCTCTTCACTAAAATGACTCATAAACCTTCAGGAAAATGTCTCCTTGATATTGTCCTGTTCCTTACACTGGAAAAACCAACCATCCTTAGCAGCAAACAGTAACAAGTGTCTTCACTGCTAAGGCTGCCACACACTTTGCAGAAGGTTGGAGAAGATTAAAAAACTGCTTGACAACCCTGACAACCAGGATTAAACCTGGAAAACCTACTCACTGAAACCTACCTCTGTTTTGCCCAGTGTGACCAAGTGTGGAAATGGGACAGGTTTCAACAGCAGTCACTTGGAAAAGCACAACTGACCTCAACTTGACTTTGCAAAGGAGCTTCTCTCTGTCTTTGAATGGGCTTCAGCTTTTCTTTGCACCAGCACCATGTTGAAGGACCCCACTTTGGGTACATTAAACCTCTCCACAGCCATCAGGAGGGTAAGGAAGGTCCCTTCTGGTCCATCTAGCAGCTGGGTTGTGCAGTACTGAACTTAAAAGTTAACCCTTGATTAACTAGGGTATTAATTAAGCCTAGGGACCTCCACACAGCAGGAGCAGTTACCTATCAGAGCCTAGATGGTCCTAACCAAGCTAAACCAGCCTGGAGTGTGTCTTTGTTGGCCCTGAATCCAAAATGCACAGAGCCTTAACCACAGACTAGGACAATATATATTCGGAGCAGCAAAGGAGAGTTGTTCCTAGATACATCTATTTTTCTCTACTAAAAACTGCTTTCCTATCAGTATTTCTTACCTGCCTGACAGCAAAATAGTCCAGTCAGTTCCAAAAAGTAACTGGCCTTTGAAAGCTGCAACAGCAGAGTGCTCCTTGGGGAGTCTACAGAAATCCTAAGGTGGATGAGACCAAGGGTTTTACTCAGGCAGCAAACTGTCTGTACTGGGGGCTCCTCCTCTGGGGCTTTTGCATCTTAACAGGAGGATGGAGCAGACAACTGAGAGTCTTCAGCATGCACAGGCACCTCTAGAAAGCTTCTGACATCTATTAGGCTACTAAACAGATTTACTTTGTTGGTAAAACATCAAGTACAGTCTTTTCCTTTTGCCTTTTCCCTTCAGCATCATCTACTGGTTTGACTGAACTGAACAGACAACAACCCTCAAAAAACAGCTATTCCATTTTATGGAGAAGTCTAGAAGGGAAATTCCTGGGAGCAGGAATACATGCTTCCTCTTAAACTCCTTTCCTTTCCCTTAGACCAGCAGTGCAACACGCTGGATACAAAGCCAGGTGGCACAGCAAGCAGAGTCCTCCACACTCAGGGTTCTGCTGTCATTCCTCCACACTCAGTATTTTGCTCTCCCAACTTGTGCTACATTTCTGCTGGCTGATGAAAGAGGATCATCTGTCCTGCTTTCATGTGGGGTCCTTTGTAACTGATTATCCCAAAAGCAAAGCTAAGTACCTCATGGTAAAGGAAAGCTTTGTTCTTGACAGGCCCAGATTTTCCTCTCTCATGTCAAACAAGATGTTTCTAAATACTTCTGCTCCTCTTTTAGAAGTTTAAGTAAAATATTCAGCACCCATCCATCTGGAAGCTTTTGTAGTAGAAACAAAGAGCATCATTTCTTTCTGTTGGAGGTGATGTTGCCTTGGATTGCACGATTAGACTAGGAAACGTGGCTCTTTATTAACATGCTTGAAAGATGACAAGGTAGTTAAGAGCATGAACGAGGAGAAAGCACCTTGCAGGAGTCTTGTGTTCCATCCCCTGGGATGAAACCAGGCTGAGATGTTCCCACATCAAGCAGGACTATCCACCCTGAGCCACCACTAATCCGGGAGATCGTTCACAGCCATCTGGGAGAAGGGAGCATTGAGCCTGTCGAGTTCATCTACTTGGGGGGGGTGATGCATCATCACCTCATGGTCCTCAGAAACATCATCCCCCACAGTGACCAGGTTTGTTAGAGATTTGCTCCGGACACACTGGAAATCAACGTGACGGCTTTTTCCTTCTTCCTTTTCCCAGGACATCTGGATGAAGGGGCGCTGGACGTAGTTGTAGATCACTTCTGAGCGGCCCCCAGGCCTCCTCTTCACCTTCTCCTTACAGGTGGGGTATCCTGAAAACACAGACAGTCATTTGCACTGCACACAAAGGGACAACAGGATCCCAGAAGGACAGGCAGGAGTGATTATGGAGCTGAGGGGACTTTGTAGACAGGCTGGGAGAGCTGGGGTGTTCAGTCTGGAGACAAGAAGGCTCCAGGGAGACCTGAGAGCAGCTTCCAGTGCCTGACGGGGCTCCAGGAAAGCTGGGGAGGGGCTTGGGACAAGGGCAGGGAGGGATGGGATGAGGGGGATGGATGAAAAGTGGGAAAGGGAGATTGAGGTTGGAGATGAGGAGGGAATTCTTTGGTGTGAGGGTGGTGAGAGCCTGGCCCAGGTTGCCCAGGGAAGCTGTGGCTGCCCCATCCCTGGCAGTGTTGAAGGGCAGGTTGGATGGGGCTTGGAGCAACCTGGGCTGCTGGGAGGTGTCCCTGCCCATGCGGGGGGTTGGATCTAGATGGTCTTGAAGGTCCCTCCCAGCCCAAACCACTCCACAAGTCTATGAAATGCTCACATTCCACATTATTCCCTTGCTTTCCCCCCTGAGGAGACACTGCAGCCCCATGTGCAGCCACATGACCAGGGTCAGCCATTTGGTGAGCACACACAGCTACTGAGAAACAAGAGGCTCCCAGGACAGACCACAATGTTCTCTAAGCTTCCTAAGGGAATGCTTGGATCAGCAGGTGGAAACCTGACTCCCATTTCCTGTTTACTTGGTTCTCAAGACACAAGATTTGCTGGTCCGTGATACATAACTCTCATTTTTCCCTGAATTTTTAAGCCTCCTGGCCAATTTTAGTGTAACATGATTAGAGATAAAGGAGGATTCCCAGCTTCTCCCAGTTTCAAGGAAGTAAATGCCTAGTAAAGCACAGAGCAAATGTCTAGAATCCAGAGGAAAACCAGGATACTTTACCCTCAATGCCAATGCGGATGTTTTTCAGGCCCCGTTCCTTCAAAACGGCTTTTGCCACGTCCCGGTTCTCAATGTACTTGAAGAATCTGTACAGCTTGGAACTGTAAAGGACTTGAGAAATAAAAAGGGTGATTAGAAAGTACAAGGAGGGATCTTCTCCCTGCTACATGCTCAGCTGTGCGGGTGTCAAAAAGCAGGTCTGGTTTCCAAGCACCACTTCAGAGGGCTGTTCTCATCACTGGGATGAGCTGCATTTCCTTGAAGTGAGGGTTGTGAAGGAATCATGGGATGGTTTGAGCTGGAAGGGACTTTCCAGATCATCCAGTCCCACTCCCTGTCCCTGCAGGGACACCTCCCACCAGCCCAGGCTGCTCCAAGCCCCATCCAACCTGCCCTTCAACACTGCCAGGGATGGGGCTTGGAGCAACCTGGGCTGCTGGGAGGTGTCCCTGCAGGGACACCTCCCACCAGCCCAGGCTGCTCCAAGCCCCATCCAACCTGCCCTTCAACACTGCCAGGGATGGGGCTTGGAGCAACCTGGGCTGCTGGGAGGTGTCCCTGCAGGGACACCTCCCACCAGCCCAGGCTGCTCCAAGCCCCATCCAACCTGCCCTTCAACACTGCCAGGGATGGGGCTTGGAGCAACCTGGGCTGCTGGGAGGTGTCCCTGCAGGGACACCTCCCACCAGCCCAGGCTGCTCCAAGCCCCATCCAACCTGCCCTTCAACACTGCCAGGGATGGGGCTTGGAGCAACCTGGGCTGCTGGGAGGTGTCCCTGCAGGGACACCTCCCACCAGCCCAGGCTGCTCCAAGCCCCATCCAACCTGCCCTTCAACACTGCCAGGGATGGGGCTTGGAGCAACCTGGGCTGCTGGGAGGTGTCCCTGCAGGGACACCTCCCACCAGCCCAGGCTGCTCCAAGCCCCATCCAACCTGCCCTTCAACACTGCCAGGGATGGGGCTTGGAGCAACCTGGGCTGCTGGGAGGTGTCCCTGCAGGGACACCTCCCACCAGCCCAGGCTGCTCCAAGCCCCATCCAACCTGCCCTTCAACACTGCCAGGGATGGGGCTTGGAGCAACCTGGGCTGCTGGGAGGTGTCCCTGCAGGGACACCTCCCACCAGCCCAGGCTGCTCCAAGCCCCATCCAACCTGCCCTTCAACACTGCCAGGGATGGGGCTTGGAGCAACCTGGGCTGCTGGGAGGTGTCCCTGCAGGGACACCTCCCACCAGCCCAGGCTGCTCCAAGCCCCATCCAACCTGCCCTTCAACACTGCCAGGGATGGGGCTTGGAGCAACCTGGGCTGCTGGGAGGTGTCCCTGCAGGGACACCTCCCACCAGCCCAGGCTGCTCCAAGCCCCATCCAACCTGCCCTTCAACACTGCCAGGGATGGGGCTTGGAGCAACCTGGGCTGCTGGGAGGTGTCCCTGCAGGGACACCTCCCACCAGCCCAGGCTGCTCCAAGCCCCATCCAACCTGCCCTTCAACACTGCCAGGGATGGGGCTTGGAGCAACCTGGGCTGCTGGGAGGTGTCCCTGCAGGGACACCTCCCACCAGCCCAGGCTGCTCCAAGCCCCATCCAACCTGCCCTTCAACACTGCCAGGGATGGGGCTTGGAGCAACCTGGGCTGCTGGGAGGTGTCCCTGCAGGGACACCTCCCACCAGCCCAGGCTGCTCCAAGCCCCATCCAACCTGCCCTTCAACACTGCCAGGGATGGGGCTTGGAGCAACCTGGGCTGCTGGGAGGTGTCCCTGCAGGGACACCTCCCACCAGCCCAGGCTGCTCCAAGCCCCATCCAACCTGCCCTTCAACACTGCCAGGGATGGGGCTTGGAGCAACCTGGGCTGCTGGGAGGTGTCCCTGCAGGGACACCTCCCACCAGCCCAGGCTGCTCCAAGCCCCATCCAACCTGCCCTTCAACACTGCCAGGGATGGGGCTTGGAGCAACCTGGGCTGCTGGGAGGTGTCCCTGCAGGGACACCTCCCACCAGCCCAGGCTGCTCCAAGCCCCATCCAACCTGCCCTTCAACACTGCCAGGGATGGGGCAGCCACAGCTTCCCCGGGCAACCTGGGCCAGGGTCTCCCCACCCTCATAGCAAAGAATTCCCTCCTCATTCCAACCTCAATCTTCCCTCTTCCAGTTTTAACCCATCACCCTCTGTCCTCTCCCTGCCCTAGTAAAAAGTCCCTCCCCAGCTTGGACATTACAGGCTGGAGGGGATGGGAGGTTCTGGGTGTGCAGAGCAGAATATTTGCTCAGTGAGGAGCCAGGAAAAGGCTGATGGGACAAACAAAAGGCAAAGATGAGGTGGGTGCTGTCACTACCAGCAAAGCTCTGACTAGCACAGGTATCCTGCCTCTAGCAGCAGCCAGTGCAGAAGGAACAAAAAAAGGATTCCATGTGCCAGCATCTTCTCCTGGAGGAATGCTGTTTGGAAAACAGGTCATTTCCTCAGGGCCAGGTGTCTGGGTGTGCTGAACACAGCGCCAGGAGCCCCCCCTGCAGAGCCCTTACTTTGGGAGTATTCCTCTCCCATGGGAGGTGGGTGATCTTCATCCCAGTCCACGGTGTCCTCATCTGTCAGCACCACAATGTGACATTCCCTCTCCCCCTTCCTGGCACTGTCCACCATGATAGGCAGGATGAGCTCCTCCAGGTAGCTGTCAAACTGCTTGTGAGCACCATCGTTGGAGAGCTCATGTAACAGAGCACCTGAGGAGACACAAAGCACAGGATGAGCTTTTTTTACACAGCATGGAAAAATCTCTCAGATGTACACATTTCAGACACACTCCAGAGCTCAACCCACATTCTTCTGCAGACAAATTCCTTAACATATGTTCAGATGCACCACGAGGCTCCAGCTCCAGAACTGGCTAAATCAGACACATTTCAAATGGAATGCAAATTACACTGTAGAATCCCAGACTGGTTTGGGTTGGAAGAGACCTTAAAGATCATCCAGTTCCAACCCCCTGCATGGGCAGGGACACCTCCCACCAGCCCAGGCTGCTCCAAGCCCCATCCAACCTGCCCTTCAACACTGCCAGGGATGGGGCAGCCACAGCTTCCCTGGGCAACCTGGGCCAGGCTCTCACCACCCTCACACTAAAGTGATTCCTCCTCATGTCTCATCTACATCTCCCTCTTCCAGTTTCAATCCATTCCCCCTCATCCCATCCCTCCCAGCCCTTGTCAGGTAAGGAAAATCCATTACCATTAAAACACACCAAGGTCCAATCAATCCAGCACAACAGTAATAAACCCATATTACACTTAACTTGCACTTCCAGCAACAGCTTCTGTTCTTGAAATCACATTTTCTGCCTCTTTCTGCTCACCCATCACAGGACAGGGTGGGAAATTAGACCCAAGGCCTGGGCTGTGATGCCACATGCCCCGTATTTCAGTGTGGGGCCCTTCCCAGATTTGCTTATGTTAAAAATACATTTTTGCCAGCACACCCACTCAAAAAACTGCTCCCAGATCAAATCCTTTCATGGCTAGAAATCTCTTCACTTTCCAACTTTGGTGTCTTCAATTCCTGCTCTTCCCACCATCCTGCTGCTTAAATTATTCACTATCCTGTGGTACATTTCAGATGGGAGCTATAACCCTGCTTTTAGCCTTCATTTAGTTTGGCTGTAAGAGCAAGCTTTTTTCAGCCTCTGTTACAAGAGGAGACCAGAATTTTTTGCCATTTCAGTTTGCTTTTTTGAGCCACGTGTCTGCATCTGCAGGATTCAATCACTTTACTTTTAATGCAGCTAAAAAAGGCAACTGTTTACAAGCAACACAAACAGGAGCCCTGGTGGAGTCAATACCTTCATGCTTAAATAAAGCACATACTTAAAAAATGCACTGAAATCCAGATCAGAGTGCTCAACACCATGCAGGTGGTGTCCCTGGAGCTGATTTCCCTCCATACTTACTTAAATCTTGACATTTGATGGTGTTGAAATCAAAGTTTATGCAGAGGTAATCACAGGTGTCTCGAAGGTCTGGGATGGAAATCCCATCAGGGCAGTTTATGACTCCAGTTTTGTAATAATCCTGCAAATAAAAGGATAGGTTTGGGAAGAAAAGAAACTTAAGAATAGCTCAAACTCTGATCCTTTTAAATTAGTTGTTTTGTAAGCAATTTTTGAGAGTTACAGAGGCTAAACAGAGCTCTGTGAACAGTAAACCCAGCCCTGCTTGTCTGAGAGTCTGTCTCTTTGCAGATCCTCTTGGGTTTGATCATCTGGGAGCTCCAGTTAGAACTTTTCCCACAGGGCTTCCTAACATCCCAGATGGAATATGCATTTATATGCAACCACGAGGTCAGGAACTGTAGTGACATGACAAGAAAGGTAAAAAGGCAACAGGAGTAAATACCTGACAAGATGATTTCATGCCAAAGTCTATTTTTTTATATAATATGCATATAAACCTATAAATGATGTTGTTTTGTTGTTGTTGTTTTTTAAATCACAATGCAAACCAGCAATGAAATATGTCCCAGGGGCTGTGCAGCTGCCTGGGAGATGGCTCAGTTTTGCACATGTGACAAACAAATTGGCTTGTTGGGTTTTTTCCCCAGTCTGCAAACACCTCCTTACCAGCACAGTCCGGAACACAGCTGAGCTGATGCCTTCAGCAATTTCATATTCTCCCTTCTCATTTGGCCTGGTGAAATTATATTCTCTTCCTGGTCCAAACATTCTGAATAGATTAAAAAAAAATTAAATAAATATGTAAGGGCACAAGTAGACTTCAATGCCTGAATTCTACAGACCAGTAGGTGCCCTGAGGTTAAACAAAACCAGCAGTGACACATACACAGAGTTGAAATTGATACTCAAATCTCTTCCACAGGGAATAAGCACAAGGGCTGGCTCAGCCAAGTCCTTCTATAGCTGAAATCTGGACTGGATGGGACAAGCTACAACTCAGAGGAACAGCCCATTCAGCCTCCAGTCAGAAAATACCCCCCAAAAAATACAGTAAAGCTCTTTCTCTGAGGCTGTGCAAGACAACTGCCTGGTGCCTTCTGATCCCTTGTTTTACACAAGGATCTGTGCCAGGGAGAGTGACCCACCAGGACCTGGCTCCCTTCAGCAGAGAGGGGTGGAAGTGCTGGCAAGACAGCAAATGGGTGCTGCTTGTTGCAGCAACAGGCCCTCCAACCTTGAAGCCATGTTTACAGGGAGCCAAGTTGCTTCTCTTATGGGACAGTGCCATGAGATAAGGGGAGGGGGATGAAGCATTATCATTTTCCCCATTCTGGAAGGTTATTTATCAGCTGTGGCCAGATGTACAACTTACAAGGCAAAGACTTGGAGAGAAGGCAAAAAGCAGAGCATGTGTAGCTGGAAGTGCACATTGTTTGGAGGAAGGGAGAATATTATCTAGAGAACTGCCACCTCTCTCCACATCCTTTCTGGTCTGCAAAGCCTCACTCACAGCTGAGTTCTGAATGAGGTCAGCCTTGCCTTGCTTGTGCACACAAAGGATCATAAGATGGGGAAGGTTGGAAGGGAACTGAAAGATCATCAGATTCCAACCTCCCTGCTGTGAGCAGGGACACCTCCCACCATACCAGGCTGCACAAGCCTCATCCAACCTACCCCCTCCAACCTTGAAGCCATGTTTACAGGGAGCCAAGTTGCTTCTCTTATGGGACAGTGCCATGAGATAAGGGGAGGGGGATGAAGCATTATCATTTTCCCCATTCTGGAAGGTTATTTATCAGCTGTGGCCAGATGTACAACTTACAAGGCAAAGACTTGGAGAGAAGGCAAAAAGCAGAGCATGTGTAGCTGGAAGTGCACATTGTTTGGAGGAAGGGAGAATATTATCTAGAGAACTGCCACCTCTCTCCACATCCTTTCTGGTCTGCAAAGCCTCACTCACAGCTGAGTTCTGAATGAGGTCAGCCTTGCCTTGCTTGTGCACACAAAGGATCATAAGATGGGGAAGGTTGGAAGGGAACTGAAAGATCATCAGATTCCAACCTCCCTGCTGTGAGCAGGGACACCTCCCACCATACCAGGCTGCACAAGCCTCATCCAACCTACCCTTGAGCACCCCCAGGGAAGGGGCAGCCACAGCTTCCCTGGGCAACCATGAGCTACCCTCATGGTGAAGAAAACATGAGGGGTTTGTTCTGTTTTAGCAAACACTTGATATTTTTATCAAACACTTGATCCCCTTTGAGGCATCTTGAACATGGTGGCAATCACCCACCTCCCCAGCATCGTGTCAGGGTGAGCAGTGAAAATCTGTGGGTTCACTGCAAAGCGAGTCCCATCTACCACAAGGGTCACTTTCTCTGGAGTTTGGGAACTGATGCTGGAGGACGAGGTGCAGCACCCGTGGCGTTCCTGGCTGTTAAAATACTCTGCCTGTCTCTTACTTCCCTCTGGGAAGTGACAGTTGTGTGTATCTTCAGGAGCAGACAACACACTGCCGATCTGGGGACTCAGCAGGCAAGCAGAGCGTCGGCATTCAGAGTCTAAACATGAGAGAGAGAAACAAACATTGCAAGGGTAAGAGAAAATTGCCTGAAAAATGTCATTTCATAGCAACACTTCCCACTGTAATGAGGAATCAGGCATCCAGTAACCAAGGATGTCAATAAAAGTCACTGTCAGGTAATATTTGATGACATAAAACTAGAATGCATTTTCAAATCGAGTCAGCAGTTGGATTTTGGATTGAAAATTCTCCCTGGTGTTAAAGAACGAGGGATTCAGTGGGTAACGAGCAGGGGCATGGGAACTAGGTCTGGCCAGAAATACAGACACAAATGCCAGGCACTGACAGCTGCTCTTGCAGGAAAGATGGAGCAGAAGCACACAACGTGCCAGGGGTGGTTTAAACCAGCAGGGCTTGATGCCTGGTCCATGGTGGGCACACAGCTCCTGAGGAAGGTCTTCAGGTGCTTTCAGATCATCTGTTCAGGGGACAAGCTCAGAAAGAGCTGCAAGTTGGCTGGCCAGGGCATATCCATGTGACGATCTTACCCAGACAGCAAGACCCTAAACTCTGATAGGGACCTTTGTCCTTCACACCAGCCTGGCAAAGGCAGGATACACTGCACTCTTTAGTGCAAACTGCCATGGGATGCTGGAATTTTTCCAACATTTAACACCTCAAAAAAAACCAGAAATCAATCCCTTAAAGACTACTATAAAGACATTAACCTTACCCTCTGTCCTGGGAACTACAGCAGGGCTGTGACCTTCTAGCACACGACTTCCTTCTGACTCATGGACTGCTACAGTTATGTTTTCCACAGAACATCTTGACTCTGGATTTCTTGACCAGTCTGTCCCCCCAGCACAGTTAATATTCATGCTGGGCCTCCGTGGCTTGAGGAGATGGATGCGCTTCCTCAGAGAAGACCTGGGACAGCAAACACCAGGTTTTTAGTTTTAGAAGAAACTCCCAAGCCACAAAGCTCAAATTCCTGTATCTGGTACTGCAAAGAAAACTCCCTCAGGCTCAAGAGGTATTTATTTGGATACTTCACTGGGATTCAGAGAGGCTTAGGATGCTGGTTATGTCCCTACCCTTACTTAGGTAGAGGGGAAAAAATGGTCTCACAGTAACCAGGGGTCTGTTGCATCTACAAACCTTTGCTTTTTAAAAATAAGTCTAAAATCATTCCCAGCACTGGAAAACCAGTAATAGGGGTATAAATGGAACATTTTCCCCACTAGCAGCCCAGGCATTGCCTCCCAACCCCTCTGAGGTCTGACCAGGAGGTTCATTCTTCCCAGTCATTGTGCTTTTTAAACTTTGTCTCCCTCCTTGATGTATCCCACCTGTCACACTGTGTTCATCCCAGGATTTAAGCTGACACAGTCCTATAAAAATTACTGTACCACACAGAACAGCTCAGACTTCAGCAGCCTCACACCACCTGGGCTCAGCCCAACAGAAACCAGGGTTAATCCAAGGCCACCCCAACCTTAAACGTTCTCTCAGCACGTGCAGAGTCACATCTTCCATTTCTGCTCTTTCTCCTCAGTGAAATTCTTCTTCCCTGTTCCTGACTCACATCCCTCCACTCCCTGGTACCTTCTCACTGATTTCTTTTGCTGTCTCATTCTCTCTCTGGCACATATTTTGTGCTGCTATTGCCTTGGACAAGAACCAGTTCTCTCCTCTTGCCTTTAAGTGTTTTCATTTCACTCTCCCAAACATAAAACATCAATTTCCTCATTAATGAATTTTTCCCATTTCTCCCCTGCAGAACAATTGTTCTGTGTCTTTTTCTTGGCTGGGTGAAGACTCCAAGGCCTGCGGGTGCTGTTTGTGGAGCACAGCAGAAGACTGACACAGCTAGATACAAACCAGGCAAAATACAGCATTAATCAAACAGCAAAATGCCAAATAAGACTTGGCAAGTTCTCTGGCCAGGACCTGCTGAGGATGAAGGCCCTTAATGAGCACTTCAGTGGTGGGTTTCAAACCCATAGTTACTGGCAGTCAGAGTCAGCATTCCATTCTTAATTAGAAATTTAAAAAAGGAATAACAATTCCTTCCTCTTGTTCTGTAAAACCAAGACTAAGTTGCCAGCATTATTCTATCTGTGTATTTTTAGAAAAATCTGTTGCTTTCACATCATGTGATATTAATCAGAAGGAAAATTTCTGGGTTTGGTTTGTTGTTCTTTAAAGGCTTTGGCTGCTGGTAGGAACAGCAAGACAAGGAGCCTACCAGGGTCACCTAAGTTCCAGCAAACTCAGCAGCCCATGGTGCATCAGTGTCCACCTCCCCTCTCACCAAACCATAGAATCACAGGATGGTGAAGGCTAGAAGACCTTAAAGATCATCTAGATCCAACCCCCTGCATGGGCAGGGACACCTCCCACCAGCCCAGGCTGCTCCAAGCCCCATCCACCCTGCCCTTCAACACTGCCAGGGATGGGGCAGCCACAGCTTCCCTGGGCAACCTGGCCCAGGCTCTCACCACCCTCACACCAAAGAATTCCCTCCTCATGTCTCACCTCAATCTCCCTCTTCCAGTTTTAATCCATTCCCCCTCATCCCATCACTCCCTGCCATTATCCAAAGTTCTGGTCCCTGCTGTACACAAAGGATGTGGACAGGCTGGAGAGGGTCCAGAGAAGGATGATCAGAGTACTGGAGGACCTGCCAAGTAAGGAGAGGCTGAGAAAACTGGGTTTGTTCACCCTGGAGGAAAGGTGGCTCAGGGGAGACCTTATGACCATGTTCCAGTACTTAAAGGGTGGCTCCCAAGAAGATGGAGACTCCCTATTTTACAAGGAGTCACATGGAAAAGACAAGGGGTCATGGGCACAAATTGATCCTGGGAAGATTCTAGTTGGGACACAAGAGGTAAACTTTTCCCCGTGAGGAGAGTCCAACATTGGAGTAGTTTCCCAAGGGAAGTAAGTGGTGGATTCCCCCACATTGGACAGTGTGAAGTCTCAGCTGGACAGGGTGCTGAGCCACCTCATATCAACTAGAGTAGCACCTAGAAAGGCTGGACCAGATGATCCTTGAGGTCCCTTCCAACCTGGCACTCTAGGATTCTATGAAATGAGCAAGGATTCCTTTAGCACATCTGGCTGGTGCAACCAATACTCAAAGTGGTAATTTACTATGACAAATATATTGCAATCTCACACACATCCCAGTAGGGAAACTAGCACATAAAGACTTCAGAAGGCCACACTCAAGCCCGAGCAGCTTACAAATGTCTTGGTTTCTTTACATGCCTAAGGATCAAGGTGAACTACCCGTGGTGAGAATGAATACCTATAAATAATAATTAGCACGATTCATCTTCAAAGCTTTTTACAGCTATTAACTGCTCATTGGCCCTAACAGCCCTGGGAAGTACTGCAGGGGAGTCTTTTATGAGAGAAAAGAGAGACACCAAAAAAAAAGCATGATCTTCAGGACCAGGCCCACTAACTAGGTGTTACAGTGACTTTCAGCACGTTTGCTACTCGAGGTTCCAGGCCACGTACCAGCAATTACCCTGGGCTTAGCAGAACAAATACTAGTAGGTTACCAGCTTCTGAGGTCTCTTTCCATTCATGTTTCTACCCTCTGGTGAGCATAAACTAGCTGGTACCATGGAATTGATCACGAGTAGTAAATGAGCTCCCTGATGACTTAGCTCACGTCTCAGTAACTTGTTTGTATGCTCAGAGCCTGAAGGATCAGGTAGGGATCAGCCTGCAGAGGAGCTGAAGACTGACAGCTGGTGGACAGCTGGATTTTGGGAGCTCATGAATATCAAAAGGCCAGTGCCACATTCAGCACTAAAGAGCTTTTTTGGAAAAGAAACAAGTATCAAAGTAAAAAAAAAATCCCAACATATAATAATCACAATTCACATCTGACTCTGGCCTTTGGCTTTGCCTTGCTTGGAGGTCCTTCCTCCCTCCAGAACATGACAGTGTTACAAATGAGCTGTGCAACTGAAGAACCATCTCAGTTCTCAAGGCCACAGCTGATGGTCCTAGTGAAGTCACCTTTATTTGAACTTGTTTAGAGCCAATGCTTTTGTTGACATGAAAAATATGAAAGTGATGTTTATTTAAAAACACAAACCTGAAATGGTTTATTTAACAACACATCTTCAACACAATCAATTTGTGCTGCAAACCTTTGGCAGAGATTAAGAGGCTGAACATTGTTCTACCTGGTTCTTAAGAAAGAAGTGGCCTGGAATGCAAAAAGGCTTCAGCACATTATCCTTCCCCACCCTAACGAATCTGAGGCACATCCAAACCCACTTTCCACGGTACACAATTCTCACCCAGCTCCTGGAAGGAGCTGAATGGCTTAACTTGTACAGACCAACAGAAACAGTACCAAGAAACTCAAATACAACATGTCCAGCAGAGAAAAGCCATTTAGATGCAGGCCATTTCATTATGCAAAAGGAAAGCATCACTACAGTTTCTAACTTTTTATTGTACTATCCTTCTTCCTTATCCTTCCCCTTGGGATTTTTTCTTTTTTAAGAGACAATTTTTCTTTTTTTAAGAGACATGATGAAAGAATGTCAAGTTGGCAGAACTTCTCAGAAACCTCCAAGAAAAAGAATTAAAAGATGAACTGTTGAAACGCACTGAAGAGTTTGCTGCAACATCTGACACGTCATGCACAGCTTCAGTGTCATCTTCCATGACAAGGAGGGAGTGAGAAGAGAGTAAAAATACCAGTGAGTAACTTGACTTCACCACTGGGGTTGTGAGTGACAAAGAATGAGGAGCACACTGAGGAGTGACTCAGATGGTTTATAATCTTCCCCCCTTTCTACACCACAGCGTAACCACCAGGACTGAAATAAAAGCTCCAACCAACTCATTTGGAAGGTGACAACACTCCCTTAAATCTACAGAAACATTCCCATGTACAATTATTCTCAGAAATATGAGCCAGCAGGAAACCCTAGGCAGGGTGTGCCTGACCTAATTCTACTGTCTGCTCCTTTAGAACAAGATTTATTTCTAATATCATTGTATGCCTTTCACAAAAGTTCAGCCTTGCTTTGGTATCTTAAAGGACATCCATGGAACATGCCAAAAAGTCTCTCTAAACATAAAAGTAGAAAAAATAAATTAGCAATGACTGAATTCCTCCTCTGGAGAGAAAAAGGGAAATCTCCTGGGCTTAAGATAAATCATGAGAAGCATTTCCTGTACGTAAGGATTAGGGAACCAGAACAAGGTCTATGTCTAAAGCACAAAAGGGAGGGCAGCACAGAGATACCCAAACCAGGGGAGATCTTCTGGCTAAGGCTTTGCTGGGCTGTACACAACATGTGGATATGTCTGCTGGAGGAGATGTGGTGCAGCTGTAGCAGCCCTGCACTAGGCTGGGTTAGTGACCTCTGTCATGTCACACATGCCAGTCACACTCAGCTCCTGGAGTTCCCAACATAAGGAGGACACAGAGCTCCAGGAGAGAGTCCAGAGGAGACCATGGAGATGATGGGAGGGCTGGAGCAGCTCTGCTCTGGAGCCAGGCTGGGAGAGTTGGGGTGTTCAGCCTGGAGAAGAGAAGGCTCCAGGGAGACCTGAGAGCAGCTTCCAGTGCCTGAAGGGGCTCCAGGAAAGCTGGGGAGGGACTTGGGACAAGGGCTGGGAGGGATGGGATGAGGGGGATGGATGAAAAGTGGAAGAGGGAGATTTAGCCAAGACATGAGGAGGGAATTCTTTGGTGTGAGGGTGGTGAGAGCCTGGCCCAGGTTGCCCAGGGAAGCTGTGGCTGCCCCATCCCTGGCAGTGTTGAAGGGCAGGTTGGATGGGGCTTGGAGCAGCCTGGGCTGGTGGGAGGTGTCCCTGCCCATGCAGGGGGTTGGATCTAGATGATCTTGAAGGTCCCTTCCAATCCAAACCAGTCTATGATCCCTTGTGTTGGGGGCTTCAGAACTGGATGCAGTGCTCAAGACAACATGAGGTATGAGGTTGGCCCCTTGCTGGCACCTGCAAACATTCCTGTGCCACAGAAGAACAACATAGAAGTGCATTCACCTGAATTGCATCAGATACAAAATCCACCTGGGGCCTCTAACATGCTTCTCTCATACCTGCTACTGATCCTGTTTTGATTTTCTGCTACAGACACCAAGTTAACCAGACAATAAAAGGTTGATTTATAGGTTGAACCAGCACAGGCATGTTACAAAAAGCTTCTCCCTTGTTATGAAATGATTCTATCAATCTTCAGTGGATCCATTTTCCATCTGGCCTTGAAATATAAATGGAAAATCATGTCCAGCAGGACTGATGCAATGCAGGACAGCCTGCAAATTCTGGCAAGAGACAGCAAGGAGGCTGATGAAATGCTCAATTGTTTGCTCCTATTCTGTGCATAGAGCTTCACTGTTAGCAAAGCTAACAGACCTTCTGGTTTGCTGGAGTCTTAACAAAAATCCACTGTTTCTCCAAATGCAATTCAAAACTTCCAGTCTGAAAAATGGTTTAACACTGCACACCCACACCTAGGTTTAAGATTCAGGGTTGTCCAGGTTCTTCCATAAATGCCAGCACTTGGTTTACACCCCAAAAGCTGGTGCAGGTGGCACCAACCCACCTCAGTGCCTCACACTGACAGCATTACTTCTTTTTGCCAACCTACAGTCAATCACCCAGACTAACATGCAAGAAACTTGGTGAGATGTATTAACCTGTGAGGGTGGTGAGAGCCTGGCCCAGGTTGCCCAGGGAAGCTGTGGCTGCCCCATCCCTGGCAGTGTTGAAGGGCAGGTTGGATGGGGCTTGGAGCAGCCTGGGCTGGTGGGAGGTGTCCCTGCCCATGCAGGGTTTTGGCTCTAAATAATCTTTAAGGTCCCTTCCAACTCAAACCAGTCTGGGATTCTATGTTTCTATGAAAATAGGAAAGTTTTATCATGGCAGCCTCATCAACTGTAATAGATTAAGTTTATCCACTATTGTCCTACTACTGGCTGCCTCAGAAGGGAATAAACCTTCTGATGAAGTCAACAGGTTAATGCAATGCCAAAGCTACCACCCTCCCTGTGAGGTTCAAGGTACTAGTATTAAAGAGCACAACCAAGTAACCTATAAAGGCTGGTTCCACTATTCACACTAGTGGGTTTAAAGGAGTCAGCTGAAAAACTACAGTTCTTAGATTTATTCCTTGTAAAGAGCTTAAGACTACAGTAATGGCAGCTTTGCTCATGCTCCCTGATTAAATTCAGCCAGCAATTTCAGTAAAGTTGGCCACACCAATATAGAATATATACCTCCTCTCCAGGCAGAAGGATGGAGCATGCAGACCTGACCAGGGTGAGGGGAAAAAGCCCTGGTGAAAGATGAGCTGTTGCAAATATAAGCAGGATCATCCTCTCTAGAGACAGGAAAAACAAATGTTCCCCTGCTGCAACACAGAATACTGAGCAAAATAAAAGCTTTAAGCCAGGTGACACTGAGTTACAGTTTGTTATCACCTGTGTCAGATGAAGCTACAAATATTCATGTATAAATTTTCAACAGGGAACAGCAGCACCAGGGGTTTGCTCTCTCTGTTCCACAGGTTTCTACAAAACTACTTAAAAAGCTTTCAGAAAACATACCAACAAGTTTTAACAAAGCATAAAAGCAAGACCTGCCTTTACCTGTTAGCATTTTAAAATCTATTTTCCTTCTTAGGCAGTTAATCTAACTTTCAAACCCACACCAGTTCCTGCACTACAGGAAGTCAAGCTGCTCCATGATAAGCTACACAAAAAAGTAAGAACACAAGAGTATTTCTGGGAAGGCTCTGACCCCAAATCCAACGTGCCTGCAGCAATCCCAACTTCTGAACAGAAACAATCACCCCCTTTTCCTACTGGAACTCTGGAGCAAACCCTCCAACAAGAACCCCTTCTCAAACACCACAGCTCCTTACTTACTGGCGGCTCATACGTTCCCAGTGCTACCAGCACCAATATCCTGAAATCCTTCTCTCATAGAGGGAAGCACCAAGTCCCAGCAAAGCTTGACAGTTTCAACTGTTTGTGCAGCAATGGTCACTCCCCCAAACCCCAGATGTCTGATTCACTGAAGTATTTCAGTTTAAAAGTCCTGCCTCCCCTCAGCTGATTCATGAAAAGTTGGCATTTAAAAATCTGGTAACAAACAGCTTCATTTTAAGACTCGTATTTTCAGCAAAAGTTCTCCCTCCTCCCCCCCCCAAATAAAATATCTCTCTCCCAGAGTCCTGGTTCAGCCTGTTTGGGCAGGAATTGTGTGGAGGAAAAGGTGCAGTTTTATTAAATCCTTGATGCTGTCTGGTTCAAAACCCTCCTGCCACTCATCTCTGAAGCAGGCAGAAAGGATTTAACTCCCAGAATTTCTGAGTATGTACATAACCATGTGCACCCACATTCCCCAGTCCAGAAGACCTTGGACTTCGGCTCAAATTTATAGGAAGTGAGAATAAAATGAGTTATTTTGATATGTCAATGCCCATAAAATGCATTGCTAAAGAGCCCCAGTAAAAAGCAGGAGCTTCTCTCAGTGCTGGGTGCCTGAGGACAGCCTGGCAGAGCCACTACACATTGATGTCACCTGGAAATTTTACCCTCTGTCAGCTCAAATATTAAATCCCTCTATTCTGTGCTTCAAGCTTTTCCCCCAAGATACACCTGAATGATTCAGAGGCTGCTCCAAACACAACTCCGCAGAACAACGGGATTAAATATATCACATCTCATCAAGAATAGATCACTTTGAATGCAAACAGAACCTGAAGAAGTAGAAAACTCTTCCTCCTGACTCACACCAGTGATAAAGTGTGTGCTGACTAGTTGTGAAGTTTGATCATTACGTAGCACCTGATTAAAACCAAGCCAATCAATCCATCATAATAAAAACAACTTGTCACTAATTCATGACCTCACTCCTGTTTTTTCTGTATGTAGATACAACGTCCTGCCAGGACTGGTTATTATATTTGAGGGCAAGCTTTTCATTCTTCAGTGTCTATTATCTAGTCTGTCCAGATCTGGGTGCAATAAAGCACTTGTAGCCCGTTAAGGAGGCTGGGGATGTACAGAAAGAGCCTCTGACCACCCTGTGCCCCCCAGGGGGAGGCAGGTTGCCATCATCCAGCACTGTGACCACTCACACAGAGCATGGGATGCTCAGGAGCAAGGCAGCTTGTTGCACTTTCTAAGCACTCACCCCAAAAATCAGCAGGGAGGAGCCAGCAGGGTGCAAATTAACACTTCAGCTCACAACTGAGGGGCTGAACACACCACAACCCCTCCTGTCTCCTTCACCACAAAGGCCCCAGGAGGGCCAGTAAAGCAGCCAGGCTCTGAAGCCCAGCATTGGAGCTGCTGCCACCATCACCTGCAATGCAGGGTCCCAACACCCAGCCTGCAGCACCAGGAAGGATAAACTTCCCTCTCTGCTCTTGACACAGCAATCAGCCAGTGTGGATCCACCAGAGATGAGAATTAGTGTGTTAAGAATCAGTGTCACTGAAACACAACAGTTTTAATACGAGTGGATTATTTCACAACAGAACATTGGCTGGGAGCATATTCAGACTAAACCAAAATTCCTGTCCTCACTTACTGAGCTTTTAGTTTCCCACAAAAAGTGACCTGATGTTTCACCCACAGCAAAAAGCACCTTACTTGCCTTGACTTTTATTTTAGAAAGGCTGTGAGCAGCTTAAA